CTACCTCAAAGCTGCCTTAATTGTCCATGGTCCTCTTCTTTACCCCACATTTTGCTTGCTATTCGCTCCACTATTAATGAGGATCTTCACTGTTCACCAGCCGAACTAGAATACGTTGCAACGTTACGCCCAAATCACCTGTCACATTCGTCACCCGTCTGAAACAGCATGTGTCCGAATTTCGTCGAACACCAACCAGACAACCAAAGCGAAAAGAGCACATCTCAACCGATCTCTCTTCTACACCATTTGTATTTGTCCGACATGACGCAACGGGGAAACCCCCAACTCTGATGTGATGGTCCCTTCAAGGTTACCGAAAGTCACTTTAAATACCTATTTAGAGCGAAGTGGAAGGCACCACACCGTTCTCATTGATCGTCTGAATCATGCTTTTACTGAAGCACCCACGACCACATCCAGCAATCCTTTTATTCCACCAACACCTGCACCTACCCATAGTACCCCTGCAGCCAACCTCACTCACTCCACTGGTCGTTCCTGAAGACGCGTCCGTTTCCCTCAGCACTTAGCTGACTACGAAACTTGAAGTGAGCGAGTTTTTTAATCGTTGCTTCCATTATTCCAGCGTTTTCCCCTTTCATGGCCAACTCTCTATTGGAGGAATAGCGTGGTATCTTATAGTTTATTTTGCTTCCATTAAAACCTTACATATTTTGTCATTGCATGAAGGTTTTTTGTTTGAATACGAAAAACTACAAAAACGCGCACTTGTACAATTTCGGGCAATGCGAACGTAGTCACGTGCTTCGACTTTCTTGTTTGATTTCGCCCGCGCCTGCAGGGTTCATTCGCGAGTCTCATTTGCTAACTCTGGTATCAAAACTAGTAAGACTTTCTTCGGAATTTGGTATGTGAGAACTGTTAGGAAGAAGACCTCTGAACAACCATGATTGGATTATTGTTTATTCGCTAAACCGGGCCAACGATTAATTTTAAAGGAAGCAATTCTTAGCGAGTCTGTTCTATCTGACCTTTTTATTATAAGATGCTCAGGCTGGCGTTATTAGTTTTATTTTTTACCACATACTCCCGGCAAAGTGGTTTTATTAGGTAACCAGACCAGTACACCGTTCCCCAAGCACCAATATACACGAAAGAAAACTGAATGGGTCGCAGTGTCTGCTGAAAGCTGGTTGCCAGACTGGGCCGAATTCTCGGTGCTTTTGCCGCGCCCAAATCATATATATCCTTGTGTACATGAGTTCCTTGCCTTCCTTCCTTCTTTAGAGGCAGACCTCAAATTTCCATTTAACCGCATCTTGAACGGGGGAAACTCTTAAATAAAGTTGTAGCATTTGATGTAATTTATTCAAGCCCTTAAAATCTCCGCAGGCAGTCTCAGTTTCAGTAAAATTCTTTTAAAAGAACTCAACGTTTACCTTTATAATGTACTACTCATATGGTTGCTGAAAATCCGTCGACAGCCCACGACCGGTTTCGCCCTTATGAGTAGTACATTACAAGGGTATACATGTATCGCGATATTTCAAATATCGTAGCGACTAAAACATGAGGCGGCCTGGTGCGGCACATTCAGTTGCCTGAGAACATCATAAACGAGAGATTCAGCTGGGTCCCAAGTGAGTCTCCAAAAAATTAGTTTTCAAATGAGTGTATATTCGCCAAACTCAATGTTTATTTTGGGCACACGCTATATTGTAACTGCTTGCAATGGCTCAACATGATGCCTCCGTGAGAAAATTGAGAGATTCGGTGGGAGCGATAATTCTTTCAAGTGTTTTCTCCTATATTGGTTTTCGTACGTATTCTATGTATGGGCAATGTATGGACAATATGTATGTATGGACAATGTATTCTTTCTATGTGTGGACAATAGCCACGTCAACTTTGTCCGCTCGAACTCAAACTGGAGCAGCAGTTCGCGACCTCTGTGGAAAAAATTTTTCATTTTTGTGGCAAGCACCCCGCTAGACAGAGACGTCGCAGCTGTCAGCAAATACAGTGTGGGTACAGGGCAAAGTCTTATTTTCACTGACAAGTGAGGTTAGTTGGTTGTTTGATGGCTGTCAGCAAATGCAGTGTGTGTACAGGGCAAAGTCTTATTTTCACTGACATACTGCCTCCAGGATAATGCCGTAGAATGAATTAGTTGGTCCATGGGCAGTTGAAAAGAGTTGAAAAGAGCATACTAAGCGGACTAGTACCTTGTAGTTTTGACACAAATCCAGTGTATTCGGACGGTGTTTTGGGCGCAAGAAGCATTTTGGATGGGGAAGTGCTAGAGATAAGTTAAACTACGTGAAAGCTGTGAGATTATGCATGGCTGTCACGGGTATCAGCTTAGGAAGGACCATGAATTTCGGGGCACTGGGTTGATGAACGTTTAAAAATCCATCACATATCGTCTTTTACCGGGTCAGATTGTCGGTTAAGTGTTTGTAGATGAATAAAAGTTGTCATTTGGAGGCATTGTGAACAGTAGCGTACTGATTTGGGATTTTTGTGGAGAGTTCGTCCTGTCAGTGAAGCCAATCTATGCTGAAAAGCCGAGAAACACTGTACAGCTGTTTCATTCTTATTGGGAATCATCAGCGGCGCTATATCCTGTCTATATGCGAGTTAATCACACTGCTGATCAGCCACTCGTGACCGAATGGTTAAGTGTTCAAACTGCTAGCCAAGAGGTTGCGGGTACGAGACTCTCCGGTGTTTCGTGAGATGCACACTGCTGATGATTCCAACTAAGGATGAAACAGCTGCACAGTGCTTCTCGGCTTTTCAGCGTAGATTGGTTTCACAGGACGAAATCTCCACAGTAGCATACTGACTTGGGATAGGGATGACTTTCTGATATTACGTGCTGCGCAGAAAGAAGTAGTAAATACTCCTAGAAGTTAGGCTGGCCTAGACGAACTGGTAAAATAAAGCACGCCGGAAAAAGTGAGGTGCCTGATCGTGGTCGGCGGGGGCCTCAGCATGGTGCACTTGCAACCTAATGAATAGACTGTGAAGCTAACCGCGCCAGGGGCGTCACGCCGCGTGCATATTGTGAGTCTTTGTCGATTCATATATGGGACCATTTTTCCTCTGCTGTTAGATTCGCGGAGTCGTTCCCCTGAAACATACATCAACCAATGCAAGCGTTGGCCAGCGATATAGGCTTTCGACAATAGCTGGTTTTCCTCCAATTTTTTGTGAATGTTGGCGAAGATATTGACAGTTTCAATGGCGAGCCGGTCACTCTGGTTAGGAAGCCCGTAAAACCACCCACGATGTGTTATAACACCACGGGGATTCGGGGGGTATCAATGCATGATTTAGAGTTAACTGGGCATGTGTTCAGAGTCGATCGAGGTGTATTCAACATCGTGGGTGGGCAGTAAATGAAATAAACACAAGAGAGGAAGTGAAGTACAAGGCCAGGCGTGGATATAGCAGAGGTTTCAAAGAATGACACTCAGTTCAGGGGAGAGTTTGCAAGCATTTAATGTTTACCCAGGCCCAGAGGATGCGGATAATGATAATTCCCAACTTGTGGGTGGCATGCCGTCTGGCATGATCATGCGTTTACAGTCGGAATGGGGCATTACTGAGGGGTTTGCGGGTAGTGGTGACTGCGCGAAAAGGGGAAAATGTCACTAACAGTGGGAGGTACTCGATTAAATAATAATAATGTTTCTTTTTCAACTTGCAGGGAACAACAGGCATGAGGTCCGAGTAATTCAGTGACTCAGTTGGCTGACATGAACTAAAACTGGAAAACCATTGCTGGCCATGAGTGACCTTGGGCGGTTGGGTTAATGGCCGGAGTCATAACAAGCGAAAGTGGAGATGGGGATGGAATAATTCGAATTGGAAGAACACGGCAAGTTTAATCTAAAAAATATGGTGCAATCTGAGGACAAGTAGACTCACTGGTTGCTCTGTTGCTGGGACGTCAGCTGTAGGGGTTAGGTTGGATGGGGACACAGAGGTGGTTGAATTTGAACGAGTAGTCCAATAGGTTGGAGTGAATGTCATGGTGGTCGTTGGGGTCAATGAAACGAGTAGGCAAGAGGGCACGGTTGAGGGGAGGAATGGAGCAGTTGCGGGTGTGCTATCAAACTGCGTATGACAGTGCCGTGCTATCATTGGCCTGACATGTTTCAGTTTTTGGACAGCCCCGTGACGAACGTCACATTTGAGATGATTCGTCTTGGGTGTGCAGGTCAATGAGCAGCAGCATTCATTTTAGCCTGGTCGAGGAAACAAGCTGGAACGAAGCCGATATGGGACTGCAGGTTTTCTTGGTCCGCTTGGTGATCCTGGAGTTGTAGATCATGGGCCAGGTGGAGTGGAGTTCAGCCAACCAGGTCGTCCAAAGCGGGCACTTTCGAAGTTTAAAGCTTGGGAGGGTGAGGGGTTGGGAGGAGATTTGCAAAACATAGTGAGTTTGAGGGGATATGAAATGGGATAACATGCATTTATATACATAGAAAGAAAGGAAAACTTGGCGTCTGATGCAACTAGGATGATGACAAGCGATTACATGGAGTAGGGAGTAGATAGATTTGTACTTAGTAGGCTAGCGACCAGGGGCTGGTTTCGCTGATATACGGTATTATATTACAAGGGATCTAGTAAAAACCGGTATAAGCGCGCAAAAGTGTGGTATGGGAATCATATGTGTAAGGGCAGGCGGGAATGGAATTCTGAGCTAACTGGTTAATCGAGTGTTTATTACATGAGTTGGATATATACCAGGAGAGAAAGTGTGTGCTTTCGTGGTTTCGCGGTTTCGCGGTTTTTGTGGCACATGGTACAGGAAAATTTGTTAGATGTTAAATAATGTTTATTTCCTAACTGATGGGTGGTATACCTCGAGTTATGGTGATAACTTTGCAGTTACAATAACGCATGACTGGCGGAACCTGCGGGTACTAGGGATCGCGAGGATAAGGGCAGTGTCACAAAGTGGGCATATTCCGATACACACGCGTTCGTAACTAAACTGGCATAGGGAACAAGCACAGCCACTACTGCTCTTTCCACTTGCGGAGCATGTTAAGCCCAATACCATTTTCAGGTCGTTGACATTTGAAGGTGGCCGGCAAAAAAGGAGGCATTATGCCCGAAAAGCGGCAAGACAACTGCGCATGAAGGGAGACCGCAATGATGGATTTCATGAGGAAGAGTGTAGACGGGACGTGTGCTCGATGAGTGAAAGAAGTTGCTTCGGTTCTGAGAGGCAAACAACGGAAAACGAATCGAAAAAATTTCTCTACGTAGGAGATCAATGAAAAAAGGATTTCAGAAATCAGTTGGACGATAACTCACTGCGTTGCAGGAAACGAAGAAGCGACCACCAATCAAGAGGCCTGAAGATCCAAGCGGCTTGTGAGTCGCTAAGCCATCAGGATCCTACAACTCCGAGTGTGCCATTTTTAGAGAATCTTTCGTGGTGGTATTGCAGCCATGTGTTGCGTCCGCTATAGGTTAAAAGTGTGTCAAAATTCAAGCGATCGCAACGCGAGACTGCATGCGCTACAGAAGTTGACTTCGAAAGACGCTGAATGACAATAATAAAAACGACCCAAGAAACTCGATCTTGCGTATTACTCCATGAATCCTCAAACATGGTGATTGTTGCTAAGGCTCTCAGCTTATTATCAGATTTCCTGATTGAATCCCAGAGATTTAGAGACCTCAGGGCGCTCGAGATCAACTGGCACTACATGCTGCTTCCTCCCACCACTATATAGTTTAAGGCTTCAATTTAAATTAGGTGAGCATCGTGCTTCTTTGGCGGTGTGGTTTCTGCCAAGACGGACATTACTGTCCACGATGCTGTTAGGGCTGTGGCAGCCAACAGACAACTAAAGGTGGATTTACTCTTCCAAGAATACACTTTTTACTCTCGGGCGCATCAACACACAAGCACAGTCTGCTGCAACTGGCGTAACGTCTGCTTATTTGACGCCGTTTGCGGTTCGAGCGCCCCATCAGGGTGAGCGATATGGAAACCAGGGCACATGGCCCGGACAACTCACAAGCGTTGGTCCCTAGAGAACAAAAATTTTGAACACATTCAGAGGAAAGCAGTCCTCTTCCTCTAGTATACATTTTTACGCCGGCAGCATTAATTGGCGCAAATCATATTGGACCTTTCCCTTTATCATTGCAACAATCATGATAAACACCCTTTTTGGATGTTTGGGAAACATTCTGTCTGGTGCTGTATGCGAAAACTACGACGGAACGGGGACAGTATTTGAGAAATAACATGTTGCATTTTTCACCAAAAAGCACCGAGAACGGATCATTAGCCCGGTAGATTCTGTGAATCAGGGCCCATGGTTCACATTTTCTCTCGATTCTGCAAAACCTTCAAGGCAACGGGCCACGGAAAAATGGTGAATGCGGCAAAAGGGCTCGGCCATAATATAGTTTTGGGTGCTCTGACCGTTGCTTTGAGCCCTTTAGGACCTGAGTACTGTCAGTTGCCAAGCTCATGCCGCGCAACACTGGTAATTTAGGTAAGATATGTACTCCATCCTGTTAACCCCAACCAACATAAAACAAGCAAAAACCAGAGTTCCTCGTACCTGAGAACAAAATATACGCCTCGCAACCTATTCAGCACAAGCACACAACGTTGCGGTACGTTACTGTTTTGTTTGATAGCTCACGCGCCGTCATCATTTAACCATGGTTCATGCGCTCTGCCATCTCCGTTCTGTCTCAGTTATTCCAATGATAGCTGCCGCCTTATTTGCATCCACTTCTTGCCTTTTCCAGCGGCTGTTTGTCGTTTACTCGCTTCAGCTGACTGAGTTGTTTTACTGGCCTGGTTTCCAGCGACCGGATAGAATATCTTGTAGGTGGAGTTCCTTATTGATGCACAAGCCGCAATTATGACTGCTTGGTGGCATGCCACCTTGCAGATCTGGTAGCTTGCACGAGGGATGCAAACCTCTTTCGGTGGCCGGTACGTCCCGTAAGTAGGGTAGCCCCGTTGCGGTGCACCATGGTGCGTTCGTGTACCCACCGCCCCTCCAGTAGCAAGGGTGCTTCGCCCACAGCCCGTGGTTCTGAGCATGGCCTTTAATTCGGGAGAGAACACTGTTGTTTTCTGTTTAATGCTGCTGGGTTGGACTCGTCCAAGTTGTCATTTAACTGGCAAAGCTATAGCTACAGACGATAAAAAAATGAAAAGACCCAGCTTCCCGTCTGTAAAAACAGAAATTCGGAAAAAACAGATGGATCAGCCCGGAGACTTAGTGATGCCCATGTATTACATGGGCGTGCGGAACTATAGACGCGCTTGTCATAATTGTGGTTTTACCGCACCAAAGCTAACTTAGTCAATAAGAAACCCGCACCTACCCGCTGCTCTCAGGAGTCAACATGTACAATGAGGAGTATATATATACAGAGGTTCCTAAACCTCCGCTACCAACATTCAAGAGCAGTGCCATGAGGCTTTTTATTCGCCATACACCACTTGTTAACTTGAAGCTGATAGCAGTGCTTCGGGGACTGGTGACCATTTCTACAACAACTAATTTCTCTCCTGGTGCTGTCCAACTCAGGTAAAAAAGACCAGACCAACCATTCAACTCGGAAGTTTACCCGCGTCAGCTGTTATACATCTGATTCCCCTAAACACACCACTACTCTGCGTACTTATACGGTCTTTTACTAGATCCCTTGTACTTTATTGTCGTATGTTAGCAAACTTAACCCTTGGTGGCTGGTCTATTAAGCAAAAATCTATCTAAATCCTATCCCATATGGGCACTTGTTTTCATCACCGTAATCGCGCACCGAGTCGCGTCAAAAGGTGCCTGCTCTCAGTGATACTGAACTGAGACCAGAAATACTATTGAAAACCGTCACATTGGAAACTACTACCAAGAACGATAGACAAGGCCAAAAAGGAGCAAGAAGCATTATCCTGTATCAAGTCAAACGAGTTAACAGGTATTATGTTACACAGTTAAAAGGTAATTAACCGCAAAGTTGTGAACACATCGTACTCTTCAAAAGAGAACCGACTCTTATTTCTTTACGTGGTGATAAAAAAGGAAATAGGTGTAGTTGAAAACACGTAAAATGCGCCACAAACAATAGTACAGGGAGGGTGATGGAATTCCAAGAAATGTGTTACACCCCAAAGTATTCCATCAGCCAGTGCAGAAACTCAAGCCTATCTATGCCTCACTAAGAGAAAGAGACAACTAAACCATTACAATCACCGGGGCCAGCCACGGCCACAAGACTGTGACAAAGTAGCAAGAATCGCCATGACAGAAATAAACAAAAGTCAGGAAAGGTGGCCCGGAAGTTTCAAGCCCCAAGGACGTCCTTTCGTCTATCAAAAGACGGATTAACTAGTAGGAACCATCGTATGAACAGACAAACAGGTCTACCAGGGTGAAAAGACCATATACCAACCCGCACTCTCAAAAACGTCGCACTCAGCTCACAATCGCTTGTAAGTTTGTAGCTATCCGTTTGCCAACATACCTGACTGTTCAGCTCACAGTCGCTAGCTAGAAAATGCGACTCGTCTTTTTTCCTACACTCAACATACGTCATACAAAGGTGACACATCTGATATTGACTGTCTGTAGCATCCAGTAAGCCTAGAAATTGGTCATGTACTGACGTAGTGACGTACACGCAAACCTACCTACACATGGAAAGACGGAAAAAGGTCAACACACTCGCGCACGCAGGGAGCAGGAAGTCAACCACATGGACAGTTACGGAACACGCGCAGCAGCGACCATGTGGAAATGGCACGTCTTCACCGTCCGGACTTCTACCAAAAGACTCTCAGAAACGATGAATTTCCCTTTTGACTTGCCCCGATTTTGGATTGCGTTTATTTTTGTACCTTTTGCAACTCGCCACTGTCAGTCATGGTAGAAAACGTAGCTATTGCATTTACCCCCAGGATTATATTAGGCTACCATAACCTGCGCGCTGATAAAATCGCCTAGACAGAAGGTGAAACGCTTGCAACAAACTTGTCCAAATTAGCACACAAACCATTCATCACGCAACCAGGACTGAGAGGCCACGTGAATGTGGCTCCATCGTTTGACTTGATCCCCGGTAGTGGATGCCAATATACATAACTTCGGCTGAAGCTCGGCAAAGGAAGCTACCTATGGGACCTGTGATATAATTCCCGCCAAAACTTGAGAAAAGCCAACCCATGTCATAGGCGAAGATTTTGAAATTTTGCGCGTGTGTTGGAATATTGAGTGAAAAACGAGTCTTGTTTGGTGTCACTGTAAGAAGGCGGGGATATTGCGCAATCTGGTAGTTCTTAATCACCGCATGGGGAAGTCTGAAAAACACTCTTGTCTCGTTGTTGACAGGATGAACCGGAACAATATAAGGTAATGTTTACTACCATTGATTTGGCAGTTCTGGAGCCAAAAAGGATCTATCAAGCCAATCCACCAACTTGCCTTGACTGGCTTCCATCAGGAATCTGGTAGTGTCCCAACATGTTGGTTGGTGTTTATGCCCTGATAAGATCTGGCCTATCAAAGTGTTACATGCCCAGTTCGACGGGCTTTCTAAAAGGCTGCCGGAACCGAATTTTTCCTGGGACTGCAAAGACAGGGCTGGGTTACCCGGTTATTAGCTCAAGATAGCTCGGTGGTTAGGGAGGACACTTGATGACCGGAAGACCAGTGATTCAATCCAGTCACCGGCATCCTGGCTGTTCCCGTCTCAGATTGAGCAGCCCGGCAGTGACTTACCCCCATTTGTCCCTAAAAGCATTGCAGATAGGCATGGAAAGAATGGTACATCTGGACGACTATAGAACACTTGCTGACCGGAAGACCCTAAAAGCATTGCAGATAGGCACGGAAAGAATGGTACATCTGGACGACTATAGTCTGCTCTTACTATGTTGTCAACACCAGTTTCATCTACCAACTATCTTCTAAGTAAGACTCGCGGAACCCAGGCGACCCTACTCTACAACTTCGTAAATATTCGACCAAACATTTTCACATAGGGTGGGATGTCAGCCTGCGTCTCCCTTGGTGAAGATCCAGATGGATTACCTGCTGAGGACGATTGGTGGACGACTGCGTTGCTAATCACACCTAAAGCTTTAGAAGCCCACTAGCTCAGCAGTTTACTCGCGGACTCCAACATCCTATTTGACAACCATCAGAAGTCCCCAGTAGAAGGCTGGCGTAGCCTGTCTA